GGCAATGCATATGAACAATTTGGATATTTATAGAAAAAAAAAAAAAATCAGCTGCAGAAAATGCTAGTGAGAACAAATGTTTCCACTGGTGGGTAAATTTGGCCTTACCACACGGGAAAAGAAACTGAAAGCTTCAGATACCCTTTCTGATTAAAAGTGGCAGTTGGGCAGATAAGGGAGTGGGCCAAATGGAGACCTTGGTCCCGCTGTTACAAAGGCAAAACCAATTCAGTGAAATTCAGTGAAATTTACTGGCTTCATTTAAATGCCCTCTGATTTTATGCCAGTGAAATGGAGATTGGAATGCAGCCTGGAAAGTCTTGTCAGTAATGCAGCTCTGATATATCGCCATCAGCCCCTCTGTTTGTTGACTACTTTTTATACCCCAATCCTCACTTCCTCCTTTCTTTCTCTGATTCTGCCTACGCTGCCCCTATTTCCAGGTTTTCAGAATTTTATTCTTGGAATATCAAAATTCATATATGCTATATATGGATAAATGCAATACCTAAGCTCAGGTCCTTCACATTCTTCACTGAAACCTCTTTAAAAACATAGAAGTCAGGCATTTGTTCTAATTCTGGTTTAGATTGGGGGGGTTTTTGCCATACATATCAGCCTGGAAAGTGTTAAGGAATGGGGATCAAAATAACACAGGGATGAAAACAACACAGAGATCCTGGACAGGATTACAGTTGGAGCAGAAAATGATAGAGGCAGAGATTGAATGGCTAATTAAACATGTCTTTCTTTGTTGTGCTTAAAAAGGATGATAATCTGGAAAAAAAGAGTCTCTAGAATTTCAAATTACCTCTAAAGCCTGTTTTAAATCCTGTAAGTGAACTTTGGGATTTCCTTGTGGGTCTTCAATTGTATAACCTCAGAAAAAAAAAACCATGAAACCACAACCATTGCGAGCCGTTCTCCAAGGCAAAGGCAGGGTATGTTCCAGAGCCAGAAGCACTGACAGGGGAGTTGCAGATAAACTACACAGCAAAGTGTTGACACAGCAGTGTTGGCAACGCTGTGCACTCCCACAGAGGGTGAGGGGTCACATTTTTAGGCATTTTCTCAATAGCTATGATGGGACTGGCCTGGAAAAGAGTTCTTCTGACCCAAATACAGGGTCTTTTTTTACTCAAATCTGAGGAAGAACTTCTTTTGGGTGAGGGTGCCAGAGCCCTGGAAGAGGCTGCCCAGGGAGGGTGTGGAGTCCCCTTCTCTGGAGATCTTCAAGCCCCACCTGGATGCTCCTGAGTGATGTGCTCTGGGCAGCCCTGCTTTGGCAGGGGAGTTGGACTGGATGATCTCTAGAAGGTCCCTTCCAACTCTGACAATTCCGTGATTCTGTGACCCTGAAAATGTGATTTCACATATAAACATACATAAAGGTTTATATATGTAAAACCTATATACATATATAGACATATAAAGATTTTTTTTTTTTTTTTTGCTTACTAACCAAAATGTTAGGACTCACGGCTCTCCAGTTTTCAGGATTTTTTTTTTTTTTTTTGGTTTAGAAAAAAAAGCAAGGTTTAGCTTCTACAGGTACACTTAGCTGAAAAAAAAAAATAAAGAAGAAATGTTTCCAGCTGCCATCAGCTGCAGCACACCATGGACATCCTCATAAACTTGCTCTTTACTTTCCACAGGTGCTAGATCTATAGCACACAGCCTAACACTTTCCTACTGAAGGATATGACTTTGCATACCCCCCATAAAACAAAACACAAGTTGACTTGTTGCTGCCTGTAGTGAGATCCCTCTCCCTTGTCCTTTTGGCAGCCACCTGCTTCAAGAATTCACCCTGGTGTTACGTTGCTGTTGCCCTGTGCTTCACTGCCATGATTCTGCTCATCACTGTCATCCTCATGGCAGTGAAATGTCCCCAGCTCCGAGGTGGACCCTGACATCCTGCTGGGTAAGCCATTTTTTGCCATGTTTGCATTTTCATCCAATACGTTTGCGTTTATCAGGGGAGGTGCAGGGAAGGGTCCCAAACCAACTGAGAAAGTCACCACCACAAATTCAACCAGCCAGCAATTCACAGCCACCCTGGTTGGGTGGCTGTGAACCATTGAGGTCCCTGTGGCTGATGCATGCTGCACTTCAGTGGAGCACGTTTGAATACCCAGCAGCTTTGGCCAAACCGCCTGCCAGACGAAGTATTGGGCTTCAATGCTTTTACTCCAAGAAAATTCATCACTTCATCGTAGGTTTCTCCCAGCTTGTGGGTTGAAATAACCCCACAAACCTGCCATAATGTGAAACAAGCACATGGCTGGGTGCAGCTTGAGGTGATTTCCATAACCGCTATCCAGGCCAGGATCGACAGTGACCCAGTAAAGTGAGAGGACACAATCCAGCTGTGTTGTTCAGTCTAAGATTTGAAGGAAACCAGGAGAACCGTTGTCCAATTTGGACTAGGAATGGCAAGGAACAGCCTTCCAGAGAAAACCTTCCCACCCATACCTAGTGCTTCATGTGGAGCACCAAAGTGTGTATAATGGCTCCTCCGGGTCCCTCTCCCTAGCAGCCATCTCTGGACATGCTGAAGACACCACGTCCCATCCTGTGTCAGAACTAGTGGCTACGTCACTGAGCAACTCACTAGTCATATCTGCACCACCACCCCTCCAACGCAAGGTGTGACATGTCTTGCCATGGACCTCATGGCATACGAATGCCCCCTCTTTCCTCATGCTCACAGCAGGTTGACCTTCAGTAAGAGGTTCCTATTAGCTTTTGTCTTTTTCACTTGCAGATAACTCGGTGCAGGAAGGCTATGCTTCTTCAACAAAACAAGGCATAATGCTTGTTTACTTCTACATTGTTTTCTCTGAAGAGACCTTTATGAAAGAAGACATGCCATCAGTCTGATGGGTCTTCAGTTATGTCTTCCAGGATCTCCGTTAAACCTCTAACCTCTGCATATATGTACAAAACATACATTATTACTTTTATCTGGAGTTTTTTTTAATCCTGTAATACTAGCAACCATCAACTCATATCAGTGGGTTTAATAAGGCATGGACTCAAGCTGCTGCGTCAAAAGTTGCATTTGGGTATTGTCTAGAAATCACAAATGAGCAGGTGGACCACTTTGAGACAGCACTTCTAATTCACACCTGCCTTGATTTTGCAGTAATTTGCAGTATAGCTAAGCTTTTAGATTTCAATATGTGCAAGTACAAAAATTCATGGATAAAACAGGGAATTTGAAAGATTGAACTTTTTTATGAAGCCTAGATTTGGATGTGATTTTTCAACTCCTGCAGCCTTTAGTGGGATTTGTATGAAAGGGGTATTGAAGGTGCAAGAAAAAATATATATATTTAGTAGAGGCGTCTCAGTCTTATTCCCCCATTGTCTGTTCTGGTTGCCCAGTAGAACAGTAGCTACCTCACAGAGATACAATATGCTGTTTCTGTCTTGAGGTAGTAATTCATTTTGTATTTGTTTCCGTTTTTTTCCCCAAATGCTGTAGCTTTAGTTAAATCAGAGTCCTCCCCTGGAACTAAGCCACCTCAGGTTCAAGTGCATTTGTTTATAATTACTATTTTGCTGTCTGTTTTTGTATTATTTTCAATCCTCATCCGTTATATTATAACTCCTTTGGGGCAGGCTGATATTCAGACCCTGAGTAGGAGGTGTCTGTATAGCAAATTATTTCTAAAATCGTTCCCTGTATATAAGCTTATCTGTACTTAAGCCGTGTTGCTGCTGTGGATAAGCTACCACACTTTTATAGTACATACACCAGGAACCAATAAAGAGATTTAGTAAAGCACATGACATGCTGGTGTTTGTTCTTATGTTAGTCAGACTAGAAGAAAAATAACATTTAGTATTTGAATGACTGTAACACCTCTGAGCTGTTCTCAGGAAGCAAGATGCTGCTCTGGTAAGTAAGGTCTAAAGAGAGAATCCCTGCCCCAGGGGCCGAGCACCAAAGGAACAGTAGAAGCAAATGGCTACCTTTGTCTTTCGATCACCCTTTTGTTTGCCAGGTGCTCTGGGGTAAATCCAGGTCTTCAAATACCAGTGGAGAAAGAAACGTTTAAAAAACAGAGATAAAAAAAGAAGAGATGGCAGCTGACATTTTGACCTGAAATGGATCTCCCTGTTGTTGTGATTCACTAACCTGATCTGATTTTAGCTGGAAGACTCTTAAGATAGTTGTCTTTCACATGAGACTCTCAGATAACCCCTATAACCAAAGGAAATTGCCAGCCCAAATTAAAGCTCCAGCTTTCTTTAGAAGCGAGAAAAACTCCACAGCCTTTGAGAGCTAAAGTGATATGTTTTTGCGTAATAACTTGCTCGGTAATAGCAGGTTATTGAAAAGGGATGTGCAGCAGCAGTGATCATTATTTCCCAGCATACAGGCCATACCAAGTCACAGAATCACAGAATCACAAGGGGTTGAAAAGGACCTCTGGAGATCATCTAGTCCAACCCCCTGCCAAAGCAGGTCCACCCAGAGCAGGTCCCACAGGAACGTGTCCAGGTGGGTTTGGAATGTCTCCAGAGAAGGAGACTCCACCACCTCTCTGGGCAGCCTCTTCCAGGGCTCTGCCACCCTCACAGGAAAGAAGTTCCTCCTCCTGTTTAGGTGGAACTTCTTATACTCAAGTTTGTGCCCATTTCCTCTTGTCCTGTCACTGGGCACCACTGAAAAAAGACCGGCCCCGTCCTCCTGACCCTCTCCCTTTAAGTATTTATAAGCATTGATCAGGTCCCCCCGCAGCCTTCTCTTCTCCAGACTAAAAAGACCCGAGTCCCTCAGCCTCTCCTCATAAGAGAGGTGCTCCAGGCCCCTCATCATCTTTGTAGCCCTCTGCTGTCCCCTCTCCAGCAGTTCCCTGTCCTTCTGGAACTGGGGAGCCCAAGTCAAAAGTCTTCATTTCAGAAGCAGGAGCTGAACTGAAAGCGCAGCCACCTAGAGCCTGTGCAAACGCGGCACATTTCTAATTAGAAATCACCACAGATTATAAGCCAGGGACTCACTGGAGATAACCAGGTCTCCACTTGCTGCAGGCAGATCTCTGGGAATTTCAGTGGCAGGTCCTAGCACCTGAGAGACAATCATTTGCCTTGTGTGCAATGCAGATGCGTGCAGATAGTGCGTGCAGATACTGCCCGGTAAATTTGAAGGAGGGAAAGTACGCTGATTAAAATGAGAAGTTGTTAACTGAAACCAAAGTGACTGGTTTTTTTCTGGTTACTGAGAATTTGAAACACTGGCCTGTGGTTTAAGGCAAGTTTAACACATTTCAATCTGAATTTTGTGCTCTGCGGGCAGACAGCATGATTGTGTCCACTGAATTCAGGGGAGTTTGTCAATATTTATAATCTATTTAGCAACTCTGAAATGGAAAGTATTTCCGAGCTGATGGCTCTTGGCAGATAGAAAGCTATGGATGATGGACAGACAGGTCTGCACCAGGCTCCTGTGGATCCCTGCTGAGCTCTATTTACTTCTTGGCCAGTGGAACCAAGCCATCTGATCAGCTCTGCACTTTTTAAGACTGGTTGCTCTCAGGGACAGCTTGGAGTGGTTTCTCATCCCCAAAAAATTCCCCTCTCCTTGCATCTATTTCATGCTCACATCTTCCTGCTCTCAAACATAAAGACAAAATCCTTGTTAGACACAGTTTGAGATGAAAATATCCTATCTGTTACTGAATTGTTAAAACAAGGTTGCCTGGTCATTGGTTATATCTATGACATTATACATATTACACATGACATCTAAAAATCATATGTGACTGTAAATCTGGTGCTAGGGAGTTGTCTCTCTCCTTTGTTTCTTGACCCTTTCCTTTTCCCTGGAGCTTTCCTGAGTCCTTATATTGCATTCTTTCTCCTTCTAGCTGCAGGCACATCCCGGAGCTATGAGTGATACTCCTTCCTGCACTTCTGGCTTGGCCTTTTATTTTTTCATGACCTTTCTCTCAGCCCTTGCTGATAAGCACCATCCCTTTTATTTGTGGACACAATCATGCATGTAGAAAGACTGAAGGAGATTAAAAGAATGCAAACAAGCCATTAAAAGGATGGCCTTGATAACTTGCATACCCTAGAACAAACATTTTAGGACATTGATGAAGGCAAATATAAAAATGCAAGAACAACAATTAAAATCCTAAACTAGGGACAGCTTAGCAAGAACAATTAAAATCCTAAACTAGGGACAGCTTCAAAGCATTTTCATTGGAAATTCAGCACACTTTTTAAAGGCTGCAGTGTGGAACTAGAAGGAATAGGAGTTCATCTGAAGAAGGAGGTCCTATCATTCATCTTTTCAAACCTGTAGCCAAATTCTTCCCTAAGTAGCCAAATTCTGAGCTAGCAGAATGCTAAAATGCCTACTAAAACTTCTTTTTTTGACAGGATCAGGCTTCCATGCTCAATCAGTTGAGCTTGAACAGGAAGCCAGCCACTAAAACAGCCCCTAAAACTGTAATGACAAAACACCCGAACACCCAACCCGAGATGGTAGGAAATGCAGTTGAGTTAGAATGGCAGACGTGCATCCTTAATAACGTATAGGTCTCAGCCCTGATGTCAGAGCATATCTGGCTGCATGTTCTCCCCTTGGTCATGTTTTCCCTTTTTAGCAAACACATGTGCCTTAATAACTGCCATTACAGAAATAAATAAGGAAACACCAGGTCTGTCCTGAGGTTTCAGGGCATTTCATAGTCCCTTGGCCTGAGAGTGGAGACTTGTGCAGAAGTCTCTTCATCTTCCTCTGCTTCTTATTTTAAATCTTGGTGGTAACTTGGGTTGAAATAGTCATGCAGCCCCAAGAAAGATAAAAGTCCTGTACAACTGTATAAAGCATGCTGTGGTTAAGAAATGGCGAGCCAAACCTGTTCACCACAACAGGAGGATGCTGAGTTAAAAAGAGACACTTCCTCTTTCAACCCAGAAATGTGACTGGTGTTTTCCAGGACAACAACGCGTGGCAAAGGCAAGCCTGTGAGCACTGCTCATATTGCACCCCAGACCTGCAGCAGAAAGGGTTGAAACAGGTGAGGAGTCCATACGTAATACGTGTAATCTGCAGGACCAGCAGGGGTAATACCACGTGGAACAATCAGCCAGTGTAATCTGCAGGACCAGCAGGGGTAATACAATCCCCTTCGTTTGTCAGGTTTTGTGGGGAAGCTGGTTTGTGGCATGTCTATTTTGCAGATCTTGCTGCTTATCTTGGTTTTTTCCAGACTTACCCTAGTCCTCTCCTCTTATAAAGATACAATCCATAAAGCCAGACATGAGTCCAAGTCCATGCTTTTGCCAGACAGAGGCAAGAGCATGAGACTGGACATTTAGCAAGCAGAAAGTGAGAGTGTGGGAATAAGATGGGCAACAGAAGAAAGTGCAAGCGAAGGACAGCATGAAGTAATCAGTGAAGTGTCAGAATGGGAGAAGAGGGACAATAGATCCCTGGTAAAGAAGTGCTGCAAAGGAAGAGAGCAAGATCCAGTTACCTGAGAAGTGGTTTCGGTGAGGAAGAGCACTGGGGGCTAATAAACATGCATTTCCACTTTGCTTAAGTGTCCCTTCATAATCTCATCTTTCTCCCTTGAGGAAACTCCTTTTGGCTTTTTTCCTCACAGTTTTTCTCTGGGACTGCATCAGTTACATGATGGAAAAGCTGGGGGTGAAGGAGATCACATCTCACCGACAAATACTGGATTGCTCACTTTCTAGCTCTCTGCAGCACAGAGTGGCTGAATCCCATGCCCTCTCTGATACAGGCTATGCTGAGTGCTCTGTGATGTTCCACAATGGAGTTTGGATTTTCATTAAACCTCTTCAGAATTTCTGTGTGATTAATCCAGGGTTTTCGGGGTTTGTTTCTTCTCCTAAGAGTTGAGCAAATTCTTCTTGTAGCCTGTTACAGAGTAGGAAGAAGAGACACTTTCTGGCATAGCAATGAAACTGAGGTCAGGCTTTGGCACCACAGCAAATCTGCCCTGAGGTCTTCTAGCACCACCTCAAACCATCCGTACTTTGTGCTGGTTTGAAATCTGTCACAAATATTGAAGGCTCAACTTTGTACGGCTGGACTTCATGCCAGATCAGTCATTATCTCACCTTTCAGAGCTGGAAAAAAAGCACCAGCTTAAACCCTGCCCCAGACTCATGCATCAGAATACAACCCTGTGCACAACTCTGTACTGCTCATTAACCTTGCAGGGCCTGGGTCTGGCATTAAGGACCACACAACCATCACCTCACCCTGTCTAGACCAGGAAAAAGAATATCTAGCCTTTAATTAACACATTTTAATCACTACTTAGTGTTTCTTGCAGACGAAGTCTGCTATGTTTAAAAGCATGTTATGCTGTTAATTAAGATAAGTCACTTGATTTCTACCAGTTGCTTTTCCCAAGGCAGAGAGACAACTCCTTCCTGATGAGGAGAATTAGAAGGTAGTTCTCTGACGGGGATCACCTGTGTGGATTCACTGATGTCTAATAAGGGATTTTGTCATGCTACAGCAGCTGCCTGCCAGGATGTTCACAGTTTGGGAGGACAGTCATAAAACCACAGAATCATAGAATATCTATGAGCAATGCCCTTGAATTCAGTGGGGCTGCTCATACACTTAAAGGCAGAAGGGTCAAATCTGAATGATCTAGACAGGCTCTTTAAAAGAAACGGGGAGGAAGCCTGCAACTGTGGTGTGATGAAGGCTGACTCCATCCTTTTCCTCTAGAAAACAGCAAAAAAAACCCCCACCCTAGTTTCATTTCAAGCCAATATACACAAACG